AGCCAAGCACGGCCACAAGGACCGTGCATCCCGTCCCATTCAGCAACGAGCAACTGTCTCCTAGAGCCAGTATGGACGAGGTAGTGGGTAATAGACAGGTAGGCATCTTGTCAACATGCACACCAAGCGCAGCCATGCCGGGGATTTCAAACAACAGTCAATCAATTAAACCGACGATATCAAATAAAATAAATCCAATAGTGCGTAGAGATACGGTGACATAACTCATCCATAAATGAGCATATGAAATAACTGGTTAAGAAACAAATCCGCGATAATTTCCTGTTGTCAGAAAATATATTTTAAGAAAATGCCACAAACGCGAAAATGTTATGGAAGTTACCTACAATTAACTTAAGCGATATGTGCAAGTTTCTAGAAGATAGCTCAGGTAGATATTTATATGCAATAACATATCAATAAGACAATATATCAAACCCAAAAATTGAAAGAAAGAGACTCATCATGCAAGCTCACGGTTAGTAAATTGAATGCAGCGTACCTACAAACGCCGCGCCGGTTGTACCTACGTTCTCTGCAAGACCCGTCGTCACTTCATTGGTGATCCCGGGTGGTCGCGCTCGTGGCTCACCAAGCCTGCCCAACTCAGTCAATCGCAACCGCATGTGCTACAGTACCATGTACTAGATGTTGACGGAATACAACCCACTGGCGCTTGCGGCTTACGCAATTGCCGCTTCTGCTATGCATGCAGGAGGACATTCTCCCGCGTCTTAGCAAGTGCCTTCGTGATCAGATCGCGCCATGCTCGCCGATCAACCGCCTTCCATTCCCATTATCTGCAGTCTGGATTCGAAGGTGGGTGACTCACTTTGAGCATGTCCTGGTAGTGAAGCAGCGGTTGCCCCGCATGCCGCTTCCCATTACTCGGCTGACCATATAATAGTTGTTTTGGTATTCACATAGAATCCATACACCACACATGACCGAGCCACCTCAGGCGTCTCAGCAATATTATGCAGTCAACTGCATATCTTCCACTTCTACGCAACTCTGTCGTATCAACCGACGCGTAGAATCCGTCGCAAGCAGTGTTGATGGAACCGCTCGAGATATCACACGTTTCTCCGGTACACCAACCACGTTTCACTGCCGTATAGAAGGACGGACAGCACCATGGGTTTGTACACCATCAGCTACGTGTCAAAGGTAAGGTGGTGGTTGTTTTACACTCGGTACTCTAGCTTCCCAAATGCCGTAGCTGTCTTCGAGACGCGGATACAAGCTTTCGTGCAGCTGCTGTTCAGTTGAAACCACACTCCCGTGGTAGCAGAAAGGGAAGGTGGTTTTCAATACGTCATTTTCAATCCTGATTCGCAGCACCATGGTAGATTGCGTCTCCAGTGAAGGCTGAACGAGACAGACAGTATTGCATGTGTTGATAGTAAGCCCGAAGTTGGCCGCTGTCGAAGCCAGAGCACTACTAATCCGCTCTGGGTGCAGACAACTCAAAGACATCAACAAACAGCAACATACGGGTAGTTATCACACGGACAAAGGTTTTCCTACGGAAACGACGGATGTTTAGAAACCCACCATCAATGTGGTACTTCATCTGAACACCGTAAGCACAATGTGTATCAAACGCACATGACCACTGAATGTAGATAAATATTAAACAGGGCAGGAGCTAAGACAAAGCCTTGCTTCACACCAGTGACAACTAAAATATCATCCGAGGTCTCTCCACTCAGCCGCACACTCGTCCGCATAAAACTGTGCAGACGTTCAAATAAACTTATAAAATTAGGCAGGCAAAAATCTTACCCGACACCAGTCACATGGCCTTGCGGTTCACCGTACCAAACGCCTTGGTGAAATCAACAAACAGCGAGTAAAACGACTGCACTTCACCTGCAACTGACGAACGACAAACACCATATTTGTAGTGCTGCGACCCGAACGTAATCCAAACTGCTCTTTCGCAACGCTTGGTTCCACAACCTGGCTGACGAGGCGGTTGAGAAGGATTCGGGCAATCATGTTGCCCCCACAACTCAGCAAGTTGATGCCACGTAAATTCGTGCAAAATTGCTTGCTCCTGTTACCCTTGTACAGTGGTAGCAGAAGGGCATCCTTCAGCTCAGCAGGCACCTTCTCCTCAATCCACGCGCTTTGCACCAAGTGGTGCAGCGCAGTCACCAGCGCAGCTCCTCCTTGTTTCAGTACTGCAGGCGGGATCCCGTCGGCACCGGGCACACTTGCCGTTTCGCAGCTGAGCAAGTGCCCTTTCGTCTCACCCACTGTTGGCATGTCCGCAAGACGGCTTCAGATCGTGCTACCTAGGCCGTTCACTGTAGGCCAGTCCATCTCTAAACGGTTGTTCAAGAGACAGTCCAAGTGCTTTTACCCGAGTTGAATTATGTCTGCAGTCTGTGTGCAGGTATAGACTGAGTTACCATCGATCAGCGTCCTCAGCGGCTCCAACTTAGGTCCATACACCGCCTAAAATGAGTCGAAGTATTAATTGTTTTGGAGGCATTCGGCTTAGCATTCCATCTGCTTCGCCTTTCATGTACAACATGCATTTTTATGCGACGGAGCTCTAGGGTCAGTCACCATAGAATTCAGCCAAATTTTCTCTTTATCCCAAGTCACAGAGGTCTGCCACATGTGCAGCAAACGCTGCATTCTTCTTCTGCGACACCAATGCGCCAATCGTCGCATTGTTCTCCTTAAACCAATCAGGCCGCTTACAGTTTGCGAGCCCGGCAGCAGCTGTCACCTGGTCGCGAATGTGGTGGCACAGGTCGTCCACTGTAGCTATGCATTCCACATCAAACAGGCGTGCAGTCATCGCCTTCTCCAGCTAAATACGTTTCGCCACAGTACCGTAACACCGGTTCACGGCAGGAGTGCAATACGTAGATTTACGAAAATAGATGTACAGTTTAGTCCGCACCAATTTGTAATCAGTGCTACACTCAGCTCCAGACAGTACATGTGTCATGTGCACTTACATATATCAAGCTGACGTACGGTGACATAGTCGAGCAGGTAAGAGTGACCACTCCGTGGGTGCGTCCAAGTGGCTATATCACACGCACAGTGTGCAAATCAGGTGTTCGTGTTGGTCAGGCCGTGAGTGGCTCACAGTGAGAGCAGCCTGTCACCGTTCACATTCGCTGAACCAATGCGATGCGGAACGATAACGTCTGTCCACACCGATGCATCACTTCCAACGCGAGGGTTGAAATCACCCGGTAGAAATAGTCGGTCGCTCCTCCGCACAGACTGTATCACCGAAGATAACTGGGTGTGGAATTGAACACGCGTGTCAGCAGGATAACACATGGTCGGACCGTACATGCTTATAAAAGGGGCAAACTTACCTCTTCCGAGTCGTAGGCGAACAGTCATCAATTGCGCGCTGATGCCTGTTAGTTCAGCCACTAGCTGGCCAATTAGGAGATCAGATAGTGAAAATCCGACCCCATTTTCACCTGGTGCTGAGGCGGCGTTGCACACCCAGTAGAATGTGTAACCAGCACATGCTTCATGCAACTTACCCTGCTCAGCGAGCCGAGTCTCGCTTAGCGCCGCAATATCGATGTTATAGGGCGCCAGTGCCATCGCGACCCGTGCAGTGCGTCGCTCGGGGCGCTCACTCGAGTTCAGGTCCAGTAGTGTGCGCACAATCCAGCGCCGGATGCTGGACGCTTTACGCGCCGGCATACGATTGCATTGGTAGGCAATGGCATGCGAGGTGATGGTTGCGCTTCTGAGGTTTGCTTAAGAGACTCGACCCGGAGTCTTTGGCTCAAACCCTGACCCACAAGGCAGTGGGTGGTTTGGAAGTTTGCTTGGGGAATCTTCCCGGGAACTTTGACTCAACAACCTAAACCACAAGTTAGTGGGGAGCAGATCCAGCTCTTGAATGTGATTGCAGAGACAGATTGGGATCTGCTCGAGGTCCATCACACGCGTACTTTGGAGACTTGGAACAATCCACATGTGTTGCGACCGTAGTAGGATACACACCTGCGACCACGGCCAGACGCAAGTTATCATTTTAAATGTAGTGAACGCGATATTTTAGTTTCGAGAAAAGTGCCCTTCTAGCCCGACATCCCTATAAATGTCTCCCAAGCTCATACATCCTTGCTCCCTGCGGCTATCCCTAAGCGCCGTGGGGTTATTGTTCCAAACAGCTTGCATCCCATTAAGAACTCGGAAATGTTGAATGGATCCTGTGGTTTGGCTTTCTGGTAAATTAAATCTACATTGAACGAAAATTGAGCGCAGAATCGGAACTTTCTATGCTACCCAGGTTCTACTCATGCACTATCTTACGTGGTCTTATTAAATTTTACTGGCATGCGTTTAGTCTACTTCGCCCATTTCACTTCACTGTATCATGCATTATGTGCTTTTATTGAAAAGGTTCGTCTTTGCATTTCTCACTCTGGTCATTCGACAGGACCATCTAAAAATACTTTTATATGGTGACACATCTCATTGTACCAGAATATGGGCAGACCACAAAGTTCACTGATTCGTCCAAACTTATCTATCACGCCCCAAGGCACCGCTCGAACTACGTCTGCAAGCGACTACTAGAAGCCGCTGAAGCAATCGCAGTCCGGCTGTAAGAACCGGAGCTATGTGTTCAGAAGAAGCTAATTAAAAGCTTGGGGCTGCCCTGGCCCAAACGGCCGGTGACCTCTGACCCACGGGTTCACATGCGGTCGGTTGTCGTGGCTTAACAGACAGCGCTATCAGCATCCAATTAACTCGCTCCACTAGTAACGACTTGTAACGTCTGTCTTCCCGTTTTGATTAGTATATAATTGTATAAGCCTGAAGATGAATTATCGAAAACATATGTTCGCTTACCTAGACTCTTGATCCACCGCTATTGTTGACATATATCCGAAATATATGTGCGTGTGGTGAAGCCACCTTATCATCGCTCCATTCGTAACCGACGCGGCGTACGTCAAAGAGATCCACCGTCCCCGATTCTCTCCATTATGGCCATGGATGAGGTACTGCTGGCGGCAGACCCGTCTATTGGTTTTCCATTGGGATCAACAGTGCTTGACGCCATTGGTTATGCCGACGATCTTGTTCCTTTTGCAGAGGACAATAGAGGCTTGTCTGCAAAACTGACTGCCACCGATGCCGCTCTGGCTCGAGCTGGTATGTTGGTCAATATTAAGAAATCGATGTCGATGACTATCCTGGCTAATCGAAAGGTGGGTAACCCCGCCTTGGCACAAAATGTTTACCGTCTAGTGAAGGAGTCTCTACCATTGGTGGAAGCAAATATGGTAGTCCGGTAAGTCGGTCTGGAATTCTCTTGGAGAGGGAAAACCCCGGAGTTGATTGGTCAGGAACTGGTTACTTAACTGAACCGGAGAACACGGGCGCCGTTGAAGTCATATCAGCGAGTGGGATCCTTTTGGTATTTTTAGAACCAAAGTACCAACACCAGTTGGTTCTCCAAGACGTACAGGACGAGTTCCTCGTCGTCTCGATATCCAGCTCAGAGTCGCTATCAGAATGTGACTTAAGCTACCTAAGGATGTGGTCAATGGGTTTCTACACACACCCTCGAAGGCTGGTGGACTCGGTATCCCATGTCTTTCTGTGTTGGTGAATCTATTGCAGCGGGAACGGTTCACCAAATTGGTCGGCTCGCCGCAGTCTACTGTGAGTGAAGTATCAATGCAGGAGGGTCACGCGCGCATATTCCATACAGTTAACCAACCCGTAAAAGTAGGTGTGATGGCATTGAGCACGAAGGTGGAGGCCGCAGCGGCTTGGAGAGCTCTGTGGTTATCGAGTTCAGACGGGAGGAATCTGGCTATTAAACCTATGGGGGTGGAGTACACCTCATGGGTATCCCATCCTGGAAGAATGTTCTCTGGACTGCATATCCGTCTCATCCAATTGCGCGCAGGGTGTTTGTACACTCGTATTAGGAGTAGCCGGGGAGCCCAAGATTAGGATCCTGCGCCAAAACAAAGTGGCTAAGAAGCTAGCTTAGCTTTTCCGCAAGTTCGCAGTTGGGTTGTATGAGGAGCCGCATATTCTATTCGTACGTAGTTTCTGTAAGCCCGATCTTATCGCCATTATCGGGAGGGGGGCTTATGTGGTCGATGTAACCATCGTGGCAGGTTATAGGTTGCATGAGAGTTGGTATCTCAAGATTGCTAAGTATAGGATGCCGGAAACAAACATTGCCATTGGTGACTGGCTCCGGGCCCGAGATACCGACTTTCCGCGGTTTATGCATCTGCCCCTCATTATCTCTAATCGTGAACAAATTTACTCAGGACCATCCTTCGGTCTCCGGGCCATGGGAAGTTCCTTGCGTAGCCTCAGTGTGCTAGGCTTGATGGCGTTGCACGGGTCATTGACCAGTTACGACGTGGATTTCAAAGCTTCTTCCTAGTCAGACCCATGTGCCCCAGGGTCTGAACATTTACCTATGAAGTAGATTAATGCAGGCGTGTGCGCCTCCGATGCCGTGCCTGAAAGCGGAGTTCCTTGACTCAAACCTGTGTGGGAGGTCGGGGTGGCTTGTACACCCTCCATTTTACTCTATCTCGGCTCTCATACTTTCGTACGGTGGGTGATCTGCATTTTGCACTCAGCAGGAGAGGCGCTTAAAATGCTGTTGTCCAAATTACAGTAAGCCTCGAAAGGGACTGCTCCTTGCGACGAGTACCAGCCGGTTGGGGTCCTCTTCCCCAACCTTAGTCCTGGACTCGGTAGACATCGCCAATGGCGGCGCAGATGGTGCTCATTACGTCCGGTTTTGGGGGGCGTGAAGTGTGTTCGTGGTGCGGCACACCGCTCCAAACCCCGGCTCGTCTTGGCCAAGTCAACAAGAGTCCTGGGAAGGGTTCGCTCTTTATTCATTAGGAGCACATATCCCCTGGCGATGCGAGCCATCAATGGGGGACGCTCCAGGAAGCACCGATTATCATAAGTGTCCGGGACTACTTGTGGACCACTACAGCCAAGGAATAAATGTGTCAACTTGCCGTTCTATAATCGTCATTGAACGCGTGAACCGATCAACTGAAGCGAGTAAAGTCTGTTAGCGCACTCATACGAGCGATAACCCGGTCGGGGTGCTTTTCTCAGCTTGTAATCCATATCCGTCAATTGCATGCATTATGTCATCCAGTAGATGGGGACATGCGCTTCCAAGGTATTCTGCGGCAGTGCACGATGGAGCTTGTGGTGAGAGGTACAAAGGCTTACCATGGGTGTAAAAGTCAAACTGCTGAAAAGGTTAGTAGGAGGAGCCAGGCCGGGAGGCTGTGTTTCTCCTCCGGTGTCTGGGGCATCAATGTGAAGAAGTCCGAAAGATATGAGTAAAGGGGTGTTACCAGCTGGTCTTGTGACCCACCATTTTCATGCCATTGATTGGATGACGTTTGTCTGCTCAGATGGTGGTGAGCGCGGGCACATCAGTTCAAGCGGTCCAAGGGATCACCCGTTTCATAGATGGGCCAGTGTGTCCGGATTTACATTTTTAATCTAATGCAAAGGCCATAGAACGAAGGAGATATGCCAATGCATCCCATGTGGAGAGCCGGGGTCTATATGCAAGCTGGTAGGTATCGTCTTCAGGAGCGGTTGAAAAAAGTCCGCGGAATTAACAGTCTTTCGAAGGGCGTTAGGAGCACAGATGACATTCGATTGGGCGATACTTTGGAGATCCAATTTTTGGTACTGGTTTTATGCTGGCCGTTCTCTAAATGTCCAGGATCACACTCCTAGTGAGGCGTTTGTTAAAGGGCTCTGCTAAAAATAGTGCGACACAATCAGAACACTCCTTAAAACCTAATGGTGTGAAAGCATCTGGACCAGAATCTTTGTTTGTTTCTAATCTTTTGAGTTCTTTGTGATCGTTGCTTTGATCAAATGACTCGGCTGAAATGAGCAAATGAAGGAGGGCAAAGAAGGTGATTTTAATGAGGCGGAACTAGAATCGGAATTCATTTTATCCACCTCCACTTCTTCGGTCTGGCTGCAAACGGTCTTACCACAGAACTGCCTCAGAAGCCTCCATAGATCGCAACAGTTATGGTTGCCTAGATCTGCTTCGAGCTACAATTGGTTTAATCTTTTAATCTCGAATTTAATTGCTGTTTTTAGACTTTTGATAGGGGTAACATTCTTGCATTTGCTGGCCCATTCTTTCATCTTTCGAAGTAGCTTTAATAGTGGTGAAAAAAATGTATCTGCTCTTATAAAGATCTTTTCAACAGAGCAACACATGCCAAAGCAATATTGGAGGTAGTCCACAAGATCGTCACATTCGATCGATACGTCCTTTTCGTTGAAGACAGAAAACTCAGTTAACGAAAACATCGTCGTGAGCCTCGTGATATTTTCCAAGGCGCAATATCGCCGTTTGATAGTCGTGTAAGGACATCTGGTCAGCTTTAAAATTAGACCTGCTGTATATGACTGGACCCAGTTTTAATTTGCAATGGTGTGAGTTGCTCAAAGAAGCCTGCTTTTTCATGGTAAGCAACTGTTGTTTATTTGTGAACCCAGCGTCCAAATGAACATCTTGTCTTGTTGAAACAGGCACTAGGCCTACCAAGCCAAATGTCTTCAAGAATGTTGTATCCTTTTTATTGGAGTAGCCAGGAACAATACAACTAGAACAATCTAATGTAAGCAGTAGCATTGAAGAAAGCTGGTATTCAGAAGTGTTATCTTTTATGCAAATGGGCCAGGAGCAGAGTATATACTGATCGAATGCCACTGATAAACCTCGGTTTACGTTCATCCAAGTGGTATCTTATAGAAATCGTTGAGTACGTAAATATTACGATTGCTGCGTTGCACCAAGGTTGATTAAAGTTATAACGCCACGATAAGGAAAGTGGGGCTTCCAGTGACCGTCATACCTCCATGGGAGAATAAGCATCGAGTTGAGTTAGCCTATTTTCCAAATCACTATACAACCAGCATTCTCGTAACAGAATGATACCTGTATTAACATACTCATTTTGCTACATAATGGCACTGAGATCACTGATTTTAACGAGAAAGGAGCGAGCATTACTGGAATGTAACAGTGGGCCTGGAGCTTTGTTGACAGAACAATGACTGAAGTCAGAATGCCAGCCAGTACTATGCTTTCGTTTTCTTCCAAGACATTTCTAATACGTTTGAAGGTGTTTCTGACTTTATAGCCATATTCGATGAAGCACGCATTTAAGGCAGTATTACGGAACGTTCAACTGTTTGACGGAAGAGGACAAGAATGGCCTTGAAACTTGATCTGAAAAAGAAATTGCCTCAACGTTAAAAATAAAGTATAGAATCGCCAGTCGGTAGTGTAAAATAATCTAACGAGAAAAGCAAAGGCCGAATTTGAAGGCCACGTCAGATACACAGAGAAGCAAATAGAGAATTATGCAAGTAGAAATTAAAATGATGTAACAAGACAAGCATTAGGAAAATGTAGCAAACCAATCACACAATATAGAGGAAATCAGCACGCAAGCACGTAGTTAACAAATTGAGTGAAAGCGCATACAGCCTATCTAACAACGCTGCACCGGTTCTGCTTACGTTCTCTGCGGAACCGTCGTCGTTTCTATGCTGGTCCGGAGTGCTGTCGCTCGTTGATAAACACTGAGTGTTTTGAAAATCACTTCCGAGACTTGGAGCAGTCGCACTCGCATGCTGACGTATCTCGGCACGCTGACTTGCCAACTGTCAACTGGCAAAGGATGTTCAGCCGAAAGAGCCGGCACAAGTGGATGACAGAGGTGGGTTTGGGACACGGAGGCGGGATCTGTGTTTATACGATTGCGCTGCAGACCAACGCAACCTAGCTAGGTCGGCTGTGAGAATTGTGTTGAACAAATACCAAAACCGAAATGGACATGCCGTGCTTCGATCGCAGGGCAGATCAACCGAACCGATGCCGTTCTGCTGTGGGCAGTGAATGGTGACCAAACACCAAGGCCGCAACGGACATCTCGTGCTTTGATCGATATGTAGTTGGATCTCAGGCAGGTCAGAAGCCAGCTAATTAATCCCTTTGTAATGGTTAGCGGCTCGCTCTTTTAGAAATGGAGCAGAATCTTACGCCGGTGTCGTCGAGGTATCTCCAATGGCAGTCACATAAGTTCCCGGTCGATCAGCTCGCGGTCATTCTACGGCTGTTTGTTGAGTGTGGGTCCGATGCAATGCAACACACGGCGCTACAACAAGATGCAATGTGTAACACGGTCACCTAAAGATCGGTAAGTGTGTCGACTGGTGAACAAATTTGAAGAAACTGGCAGTGTGTAAAGTC